CCTGGGATCTGCTCCGCCTCTGCCCGTGCACCAACTTTCATATATGGCCGCTCCAATCACCATGCAGCTATATTATGTGTATTGCCAGCCAGGCACAGCTAGCCAAGGACAGGTGAGACACTCAGACAGTTTAGATTTTTATTGATAAAGGTGCTTGAACCTGTCGGATGCTTCAGGTTAATGAAAGAAAAACTGTTTTGTTTATATGTTTGTGTGCTGTTTATCATTACTAGTCTTTGAAATGCTGGACTAAGTGTCAGTATTCTGGATTTTTGTCCTTCTCCCTCTCTCCACACAATCTACTGTATCAGTTACCTGTAAACAACATCGCATCGGCAACAACAGCAACTGTTCCTCCAGCTCCTCCACCCCACAGCTGCGCTCCAAAGTAAGTTTCTCTGCTGCGTTTTCTCACTGATCTGCAGGTATTTGTCATTTATCTGCAGATGTGTGTGTGAATTATTGTAATCAGCCTCCTTTAATGCTGTCGCCTTACATTCAGTTTCACAGCGTTACTCGTGTTTTTAAAGTACTTTCCTCACAGCTGTACACAGTGGTAACACATGCTCTCACTCTGGGTTTTATTCCTGTTGAAACAGAAAGCAGCAAACCAAACAGGGTGAAGACCAGGCTTACGTTAAGAAGCCCCCAAATGCCTTCATGCTGTACCTTAAAGAGCAGAGGACAAAGGTGAAAGCAGAACTAAATATCAGTGACAGTGCAGCTGTGAATGCAGCTGTGGCAGAGAGAGTAAGTGTAACTCTGAATCTATTTATGCATCTGTTAATGCTCTATGCTCTTGTTTGTGCATGTGTACCAGCTGTCCTGTAGTTATGTGTAGTAGCAGTGTGGCTGTGTATTTATACGAGCTGACAGTGTGTTCTTGTGATCTTCTATCCACAGTGGAGGTCGCTCTCAGAGAAGGAGAAGAAAAAATACTTTGAAGAGGCGGAAGCACAAAAATGTCATCACGCCACAGAACATCCGAATTGGTCAACCAAAGAGAACTATGTATGTCCAAAGTGCCAACATACAGTTCATGCATGTGCCTTTCACTGCACTGAATGATGAAACAGTCACTGATACAAACAGAGTTTGTATCAGCTCAGGAAAATTCTGATGTGTTTGTTTTTAGGGCAAAAGGAGGAGGAGCGTCAGCCATCGTAACTGCACCAAAGGTGAGAGAATATTTCGGGGAATCGTTTTCATGTCAAATGTAATGAAAAAAATCAAAAATCTATTAGAAAAAAAAACATTGTGTTTTTGTTTGTGTCTTCTGCACCTGAAGAGAGGCCTTAATTTGCAACTCCAGTAAGAAATCTAAAGGCACGGGGCTGAGATGGAAGTCACTACTGAGCCTTTTAGGCGTACTTCTGTTTTTATTTTTCTGTTTTTATGTGTTTTTATTACTTACATGTGTTTTTGCTGCTTTGACATATTAAAATGTAATCTGTAAAAATGTCCACTGAACTGGAACATATGTTACCTTAATGCCATTAACGATTCCCTGCATTTAACCTTTAAAAGTATGTTAGTTTATGTACTGATAGAAATTCAGTCTCCAGATTTGTCCAGAGTGCCGCGGACTGATCTACTCATTGCTTTGAAAGCATACCTCTGTTTCATCTCCCATTATGAGACTCTACTGTTTGCTGGCTGTTCCTGTAGTAAGGATATAAACTATAAACACGACTTTTAATGGTAGAGCCTCTTATATACGACTACTTCAGCCGTTACAGAAAGTAAGATGTTTTCCTCAAGGTACTTACACTAGTCACCCAATAACAATGAAACCACGGACGGGTGACATTTCTAAAATTGATAAACTTGTTCAAATACAATGTAAAAATGCTGGAACATAACAACTGAGCTCATAGCATTGAGACAGGGTCCAAACATTAAAGTTATAAACTGATCCCCATGTCACTGAGTGAAATAAGGGTTTGATCCCCTACAACCCAACAAGAATTCTGGCTGCCACAGATGTGTTTTGTGCCCATGTGGCACATAGACTGCAATCGATCAATCATAAAGCACTGATTCTATCCACAGAATCAGTTTCTTCTATTCTAACCTTTCCACCATCATGGACAAGACCAAAGAGCTGTCAAAACATGTCATGGACATGATTGTAAACCTGCACAAGGCTGGAATGGGCTACAAGATCATCAGGAAGAAGCTCGGTGAGAAGGTCGTGTGATTATTCAGAAATGGAAGAAATATAAAATGACCATCAATCGGCCTTGTTCCAGAGCATCATGCACGATCTTGACTCAAGGGGTTAAAATGATCATGAGAAAGATGGAGGAATTTTACAAAATTACACAGGAGGAGCTTGTTAATGATCTGAAGGCACCTGAGACCACAGTCACCAGAAACACCACTGGTAACACACTACGCTGTATCGAAATCTTACAACACTTGTTTAAGTGCTTTCACAGTCGAGCTGAAAAGGGTAAACACTAACTAGCCCACTGGCTGGGCTGAATGTGCTGCTCTACTGGGCTGCCCAGGTCTGGTGTATATGACGGTTAAATCTCCCACGAGGCCTTTTTTGTACCTGTGAGGTGAATCTATTAGGTCACTGTGACTCTCACCTACACCAGGGGTGTCAAACTCAAATACACAGTGGGCCAAAATTCAAAACTGGAACAAAGTCGCGGGCTAACGTTAATATTTATTGAAAAAGAAATCTTCCTCCAGATTTAAGAATGAATCTCTTCTTATGGACTCAAACAAGTTTTGCTGAAAAACTGAATATGGAACAAGCAAAGCTTAATACTAAACAATATATATATTAGCTGTATAATACCAGTAGGCCAGCTCTAATAATAATTTGGTATGGCTTCGCGAGAGTTTGACACCTATGACCTACACCATACCTACAGTTTGTTAGTATGGTCACAACAAGTGAGAACAAAGAATACAAAGAAAACAAACTGGAAGTGTGGGTTGGCAATAAAAGTAATCAAGAATAGTATTCCAAAGTAAGGGCAACTTTGGAATTCATCATTATTTTATACCCTATTAATGTGTAGATTTGTGCACCATTACAGCTCATACTACCCTCTTCTGCCTTTGAGAGGTTGCTATTCTCATCACCTGACCAAAAAAACCTCTGAGTCATTCCTCCGTCCTCTGACAAGCTGGATTACCAGCCCTGATTACTTTCATACTTACTCAGTTACTACTTTAAAAACACCTTTGTGCTGATTCAAAAATCCTTTCCTGTCACATTCTTTTTCCTCCTGAAATTATTATTCTGAGAATTAACACTGGTGTTATTCACTCTCAGTCTGGCTCAATCTGCTGCTGCTTATGGATGAATGAGCCTCAAATGAGA